ACCATGGCCCGGAAAGGCATAAGATCGAATAATGGCCCAACAACCTAAAACCTAGAAAGGCTCCCTGGTAAGTACACTCAGCGTACCACCAGTACGCCCGGCGTACTAGATCACAACCCAAGAATCTGGAACCCATACACGTACACTTGCGTACGCCCAACGTACGCTCCAGTCAACCAAAAATGCCATTAAGCACTTTATGCTTTAAGTTCAGACGTCCATTTTGCATATCTAGATATTGGGGAATGTCTTAAACAATAAAGTCACAAACTTGATGCATTTGCATGGCACAAAAATACTCAAACCCAAGATTTGGCATTCTACTTCCATCAAATGATCATTAACTCATGCATGGTTGATCTAGAACCACCAAGATGCAAACTTTATAAACTAGAAACTTCGAAAAATTTAAAAGGGACAACTCAAATCTTCTGGAGTAACATTTTCTCACAAGAACTCACTCATGGGACCAAAATGTGCTCAAAAGTCAACTAGTCCTAGATCTAATCATAGAATAACCAAGGTCAATACTTTATACCTCTATGAAGCTGAAAAGGATGGATGGACCCTGGATCTACAAGCTCCTACTTGATCAGTGCTCCTTCACCAAGCTTCTTCTTTTTCAAGATACACCAAACACATACCAAGATCAACTCTCTCTAGGAATAGGTTAGGATTTGAGATAGTGCTCAAAAAGGGAAATGTAGGCTGATAAGGAGAGAGCCTTAGGACATAAGGTGTTTAAATAGGGTGCAAATCCTAAAAATTAGGGTTGCCCCTGACCCACGTACGCCTAGCGTACCAGAGGTACGCCCAACGTACTAGGGGGGTTAATCTCGTGTCAAGCATTCTTCAAAGCAGTGTTGTAAAACTCGCCGAGTTGGCCGAGTACTCCTCCGAGTACTCACTACTCGGCCTCTTACCGAGGCGAGTTATAGAGTCCCGAGTACTCCCCGATCGGCCCCTTACTGAACTAAGCAGTGTTGTAAAACTCGGTTAACTCAGTGATTAATATGTATAATATACTTAATGATTTATTATTTAACACACACACATGTGATTATTACTACATATATATCTTAAATTTTTAGTAATTATTCACGAAATGAGACCATTATGTGTTGTTTTTTTAGTTTTTGTGTATTTACATGTATCTAATTTTGTTATATATTTCAATCAATTTATGATTTTAACTTATGATTTTGACATATATAATTTCCCAAAAAGTACTTCTACATGAATTACCAAATCCGAGTACTCCCCGAGTAATCGCTATTCAGTAGTCGGCCGAACGGGTACCGAGTAACGAGTTGTACAACCTTGCTTCGAAGTATGCCGAACATACCTGATGTACGCCTAACGTGCGAGGTCCTTAAGCCAAAATAAAAGAGAAATAAATAACTAAATAATTTACCTAACATATCGGAACGTTACAGAATCGTGATGCGAAAAGTGAATCGGGTAGGTTCAACCTAACCGATCCCGAACGCTACTAAAAAACAAAAGCTCATCAGCTAAGAAAAGTGCCAAGTGCGCCTAATTCACGTAATTTCGCGGCATCAGCTAGGCGCGCGTGTGGGTTTGAGTCATATCTTTATCCAGTTTACTAAAAGCCTTTGAATGCCTATCAAGAGAAGAGTATTATAAACACATTAAATGTTTCTTCCCTCATCAATGTAAGACAATGAAAAACTAGCCAACTTACATTTTCTATTATAATTTCCAACATAACGTACATACAATTAGTAAAGACGGATAAATATACATCATCGACAATTAAAAATTGTATATTTTACATTTTTGAATACCGAAATTCTAAAATTTAATAAATTATTTTAATTAATTATTTTTTAAAGATATTATTATACTCCATTATAGTAAGTTATAAAGGTGATAATATATTGTTTGAGAGTTTTTATTTTATTGACATATATAAAAAATTATTAACAATTTATTTTTTTCAAGGAAAATTCATAATGTTAAAGAAAACTAACATGGAATGGCAATCATAAAAAGACTTAGGGCGTGTTTGGGAGTGTTTTTTGAACTCTAAAAGTTTTTTAAATAAAAATGTTTATTGGGTTATAGTACTGGTAAATGAGTTTTTTAAAAAAGTAATGTCAATAAGTCAATTAGTTAAAAAAAATGTTTGGTTTAAAAATTGTTTTTTGAAGTTATTTTGGTTAAAAAACAAAAAGAGTTTCAAAAAGCTAATTTTTACCAGCTTTTTAAAAAATGTTTTTTGGAAATAATGAAAAAGCTATTCAGAAAAGTATTTTTTTAGTTGCCAAATACTTTTCTTTTATTTATTAGCTTTTGAAAAACCAAACAATCCAATAAGCTCTTTTGAAAAAAAATCTCAAACACGCCTTAAAAAAAAGGAATACGACTTATGAAGGTAATTAACTTTTCGGTATGTTCATATCTAGGTAACAAACTTGTTGGAAGTGTTCACATATGACCATTATGACCTTCTATAGCAGGTTAAATCTTAGATGTGAACGCTTTCAACAAGTTCGTTACCTAGATGTGTACAAAAACAATAGTTACCCAAATATGAACAAAACGAAAAGTAAAAATTAAATTACACGAATGGTCCCTGTGGTTTAGGGGAATTTGTGTTTTTGGTCCCTAACTTATTTTTTTTTTAAACTTGGATGGTCCATACTGTTTATTTTTGTTGCGCGTTTGGTTCCTGTCTTACCTAATGAGACTATTGTGCCTTATTAATTTATTTTTTAATTAATTTTCTTATTTATGTATTTATTTTTTGTATATTTGAAAAAATTAATAGACCACCTTACTGTTTATTTTTTAATTAATTTATTTTTTTAACTCGGATGATACCTACTGTTTATTTTTGTTACGCGTTTGGTCCATGTCTTACCTAAAAATACTATTTTGCCCTTATTGATTGTTTTTAATTAATTTTCTTATTTATATATTTATTTTTTATATATTTAAAAAATTAATATACCCCACATATTTGTATCTCCTCACCGTAAACCTGAAACCACATTTGAGAAATTTAATTTGGGTCTTACCGGTCACCATCTCATATTTCATCCTCCCAAACTTCTATATCTTTTCCATCTTTAGTAACATCGACGTCTTCACCATCCTTCTTTTTTTAGTACTTCAACTCTAGCGAACCAACACCATAACCTACAGTCTCTTCATCTTTAGTGGGTTGTGGTATTGATTCGACAGAGTTGAATGACCGAAAAAAGAAGTGATGATGAAGACGTCGATATCACTAAAGATGGAAAATAAATAGAAGTTGAGAAGGATGAGAGATGGGATGGTGAGGAGATACATATATGCGGGGTCTACTAATTTTTCTTAAATACATAAAGCATAAGTACATAAACAAGAAAATTATTTAAAAAAATAAATTAATAATGGCACAATAGTCTTTTTAGGTAAGACAGAGACCAAGCTCGTAACAAAATTAAACAGTAGGGACCATCCGAGTTAAAAAAAATAAATTAATTAAAAAATAAACAGTATGGATCATCCGAGGAGATACAAATATGTGTGGTCTATTAATTTTTTTAAATATGTAAAAAATAAATACGTAAATAAGAAAATTAATTAAAAAATAAATTAATAAGGGCACAATAGTTTTTTTAGGTAAGACAGGGACCAAACGCGCAACAAAAATAAACATATGGACCATCCAAGTTAAAAAAATAAGTTAGGGACCAAAAATACAAATTCCCTCAAACCACAGGGACCATTCGTGTAATTTAATTTTTAGTTCATAGGTAACTATTTTTTTGTACACATCTAGGTATCTAGGTAACGAACTTGTTGAAAGCGTTCACATCTAGGATTTAATCTGCTATCCGAGGAGATACAAATATGTGTGGTCTATTAATTTTTTTAAATATGTAAAAAATAAATACGTAAATAAGAAAATTAATTAAAAAATAAATTAATAAAGGCACAATAGTTTTTTTAGGTAAGACAGGGACCAAACGCGCAACAAAAATAAACATATGGACCATCCAAGTTAAAAAAATAAGTTAAGGACCAAAAATACAAATTCCCTCAAACCACAGGGACCATTCGTGTAATTTAATTTTTAGTTCATAGGTAACTATTTTTTTGTACACATATAGGTATCTAGATAACAAACTTGTTGGAAGTGTTCACATATGACCATTATGACCTGCTAGCAGGTCATAATGGTCATATGTGAACACTTCCAACAAATTTGTTACCTAGATGTGTACAAAAAAAAGATAGTTACCCAGATGTGAACATACCGAAAAGTTAATTACCTACATAAGTCATATTCCCCTTAAAAAAATGTATACATGTGTGTGTTTTATCTAACACATCAATTTTTATTATTTGTGTTTGTATATTTTTAATTTCCTTTCATCATGAAAGGTTCACCAGAGACCATGGAGATTGTTCACAAGTGTGAAGGGGAGAGGAGAACCCATGGTGGTAGTGGCAATGGTGTGTGTATTTTTTCAAGAGGCATCCATTTTCATTATCTTGGGACATTGTTTTTTTTAAGTTATCTAAATCATGATAGGGTGACCGGAACGCCGGCCGTGATATTGGATGAGAGTAAATGGAGTGGTGGTGGTGGGATGGGTACGGTGTGATGACCCTAAAACTAATATTATAATACATATATTAAAACCCAAAAGTACATATATTAAAACCCAATAGTACATATATTAAAACCGAACACATCTATAAACAGTAAACTACACGATTTTCAGATTTTCATCACATCCCTTGAACGTATTTACTCTTTTGTTCTTCTATGTTTTCACCATTTTACTTCCCAATCCAAAATCCCACCGCATCACTTTTCATATTTCTTTGGACTCCTTTCTTTCTTCGTCTCCGACTCTTTTGGTTTGAGTTTCCGATGACATCTCATCGAAGAATTAGAATTTCTATTTTTGTGGTCAACAACTGTCTGCGCTCTATTGCCGCCACCAACCGCCTGCTTGCTCTCTTGCTATTTGGTTTGCATGTCGGTACCAAAAATCGATGCCTTACCACTTGGCTATACTCCATACGCCCGAGTATGTTGTATATTGTTTCAATTTCACTATGATATTTTGTTCAATTCCTCTTTCTTCTGGTATGTTGTGTGATGTCTCCGACTGGGTCTGACGTTCTCCAATTTTCTGAATTTGTGCAAAAATATCGAAATATGGTTTCTTCATATATAAAAATTGAATATATTTTTTGGTTTTTGTCAAGAATACGATGATGCAACGGATGTACTTCCGTTGGAGATGTCGTTTGTCTGCCGTTTGGAGTTTTATTGCCGACGGTGAAACTTTGCATGGAGCGGTGGAGATGTTGGACAATTTTAATTGCTCTGAAGCAAAATCGAGGAACCAACATAACAATAACATCGATGAAGATAAGGAATTGTTCGATAGAAGCGAAATTGATTGTCTATTTTTCCCTAGAACACTGATGCACAACAATATTAAAGTAAAATCATATGTCCACTAGAATTTCCATGAACACACTTGAAAATTACTCTCGATTTTAAATACTCCTTATTAAATGTCTGATTGTTTACACTGATTTTTGGTGTTGAAGATTTCGGTTCTTCATGTGAGCCCTGATATTTTTTAATTTGTTGCTTTTGTTGTTCATGATTTTGGGATTTGGAGATTGTTTGCTCTGTTGGTGTTCTCAGTGCTCCCTCCGCCACCATTGGATTTTTTTGGTTGTTATCGCCATCGGATTTTTTTTGGTTGTTATGGAAGAAATCGGAAAATTTTTTCTTTGTTATCTAAGAAACCAAAAAGTAAAGATGTGGTGAAGGTGAATCCAAATCCATGCCCAAATTGAAGTGTATAATATCAAGTTACTGAAAAATGGCACTTGGGTGGAAGTTGGACGCTTCGGGATCGAGAAGAACGAAATTGAGATTGATAGATTTGATCGGTTTGGGCATTTCTTGCAAATTATTGATATTGTTAAGGTGTTTCTTGTGTTCTCAGTCTCCACAACCACTCATCGCTATTGTATTCTTTTTTTTTATCCGCTTTGCAATTTTTTTAATTCCATTTTCCGTTAAATATTCCATTTTATCGTGTCTTTTTTATTTTGATATTAACATTCACATAAAAGTAGTTTATCAGATGTAATATCTTCCATGGTTTTTCTCTGAGTATTCTTCTGAGAATTTGATCTAGTGGCCATGGGTCTTCCTGGTGATGGTTGATTCAAGCGGCAATGGGTGGTGTTTTTGGTGGTGACGGTGGAGGTATTAGGTTGATGGATTGTGGTGGTAGAAGGTAAGAATGGTGGAGATGGTGAAGGTGGATGAGTGTGTTGAATTGGAATGGAGATGGACTTAGGGAAAAATGCACTAATTTGCTCAAACTCTAAAGAAGAAGCAATTGACAGTGAATGCAAAATTGAGGTACACCCCACTTTATCAAGCTATTATGTTGTGGATTTACTCCTTATTTTCAACAAATAAGATATGGTTTGACGATCTTTGACATCAAGAAATGCAAATGATGCCCTTTTCATACCTGAGGAGGAAATGAAAGAGGTAGTAAATAGTGAAACATGTTAGTGATATGGAATCGGGGCTATTTATTGACGTTCTCGCCGTCTTCTTCTCCAAGAATTTACAGTATGTACTCCAACTCTTCCGGTTCATAAGGTATTTCAATTGCAATCGCTTTCTCTCCATCTTCTGATCAACGACTTTTCCTAATTTTCTGAATTTGTTCAACATGTCGACAAGAATTGTTTTATTCATATGTAAATTTGGTGATTTCTGAATTGGTTTCCGACTCTGCAATTGATGTTCCCGCTGTCTACTCCATGAATTTACAGTTTCAACTCCATATCTTCCATTTCATAAGATATTTCTATTGTAATCTCTTTCTCTTTCATTTTCTAATCATGGACTATCCCAATTTTTCCAAATTTGTTCAACATATCGACAAAAATTGTTTTCTTCATATGTAAGTTTGGTGATTTCTGATTCATACGGTTTACCAAATGTAATCTCTTTTGCAATCTCATATGTAAATTTGGTATTCTTTCAAAAGATGTACCCAATTTATGCCAATATTCCAATTTATGCCAATATTACAATGACTTCAAGATTCTTATCAACAATTGAAGGACCATAGGGATATGTTATATGTTCAACGTGTACTTCCAGATTAGGTTTTATAGACTTGAAAAAAAAAGGGGTATAGTGGTATACAATCCATTCTGTATTATAAATCCATTTCGTCCTTCCTTCGGATATCAAAAACCAAAACTCGTCATTGCAAATTCTCCTTAAGGTGATTCAGAGTAATTACCGACTTTTTTATTAAATGTACATCTTTCATCTAACCTTTACTCAAAAGGGAAATTCCTGAGATTTTTTTTTAATTCTGATTAAATTAAAAGAAAAAAGTGGTTCCTTTTACATTTATTCTCTTGATAATTTGTCAAGCCACCTTCCTTAATGCAATGGTATTCAATTTGAAGATGAAAGTTTGATATATGAATAAATTAAGTTTAGGGGCAATTTTCTCAATCCAGATTTCTAATATTTTACACTTATACAAGTACTTCGATGTTTATCTTCATCTTTTACTCAAGGGTTATTTTTGTCAATTAGTATGGTTTGTTAACTAATTAGCTTGCTTATTTTACTAAAAGGGTATTTTTCTTTTCTCATTTACACCAATCACATCAAAGCTTGCAACAAGTATTGTCTAAGTTTCATGACACTTTAAGGTTGAATAAAGGTGACAATAACAATTTACACCAACTTAACATTATGCTACCGAATTTGTATTTTTTTCTATTATGTCTTACTAAGATTAAGTTTTGACTTTTGACTAACAGGAAAAGAATGAAAGTTTTTTTTGTCTACTCATGGAACTGAAGCTTGAAGTCCAACTACAGAATGCGAAGATAAGGACCATGATTAATAAGCTACAAAGGGTTGTATTTGTTGTTCCTTTGCTTCTTTATGATGGATGTTTTAATATAGGATAGTTCTTTATGCTTGTACTATTATGCAATGTTTCCCACGTGGCTCTCAGATATGTTTTCGTATAGGGGCGCCTTTTATTTAAATTCCTGAACGACTTACTATTTTTTTTTATTGACTTTGAAGGTTTGGTCATGATACCTCTATGTTTCTACACAAACACGGAATGAGTAAAATTCATGAAAAGTGTCTTCCAAATACCCATCGTTCTTATGTAAGTATATTTATTTATTTCTTTACTTGCATGTTATGCATTTGGGTTTGATTTATTGACATTTAAATTAGTTCCCAACTAAATAAGGAATTGAGTCTTTTACTTTATTTATGTAAACAGATTAAGAGCCATAATGGGAAGTACATTAATAAAATACTAGAGTTCCATATTGTGGGATGTACATTAATCAAATACTAGAGTTCCGTTCATTGGCTCTCAATGTTTACTTCATGATGGATGGAAATAATTTTTCTAAACTTTATTGTTGGAAATTTGTGGTATAGTTTTTTTATAATTTAAAAATTGATGGCTTTTGTTCATTATTAATTAAAAAAATAGATAGCTAAGTGCAATCGATTTTGCATGTTTGTCTATGCACGTCACTATTAATGTGTATCGGTGTCTAGTAATTATTATAAAGAAATGAAAGTAAGTTGCAATAACCATCTTGATAACAATATGGGCTTAACAACAAAGCCCACTTCTAAATACAAAAAACCCAAAAAAAACCCGATCCGTGGTTCAACACGAGTTAACCTACTAGTTTACATTAATTATAAATAAATAAAATAAAAACATAATTGAACCAACAAATAACATTATATTTATTTAAAAAAAAATCAAAGTTAATGAAACATATCACATCGTTGTTTGGAGTAGGCGTGGCCAGATTTTCAACGTTTTTTCTTTGCGAGTGTTTCTATGCCCAACTATTCATTAAGACGACGGTCAGTCACAAAATTAAAACACAGTTCTTTGTATTTTGGTCTGTCGGTGACCAATGGAAGTCACGGGCATGTCGACCTGTAAATCATTTACGAAACAACATACTAAAATGATGCAGGTACAGCCACATCAGCAAATGCGGGACCCAATTAGGAGAAATTACGTGGCGCATGATTAGGACACCTCGGTCCAAAGTCCAAACGGCATCACCGTGTGTACGCATTATTTTATGAACTGGGATTTTATATTTATATTTTTCATTTTCTTGATGCTATTAATTTTCTTTTATCAGTTTTTAAATTTTTATAAATAGAGTATTCTAGTTCAAATGATATATAGCCGTGTATTTGAACGGTATAAACTTCAACAAATTACAAATATCGTTGTTTCCAAATATGATCAGAAGCGCCTTGGTTTGATGGTCTTTGTAAGATTTTCTTTAAAGCTGATAATAAAAGTGATCAAAATGGAAGATGACCATTTTCTTTACATCGATTTTGACTACTTTTACATAACTCTTTCTTCGAAATTAATGTAACATAGCTAGATTTTAGTTTCACAAAACAATTTGAGTTTTGAAAATTTTAATTCGTATCAATGATTTTTTGTATATAAATTATTTTTATGGAAAATACTGGTTTTCTGGAATTCAGATTTTCGCAAACACTTCATGAAATTCTATGTTGTTTTTGTGATTTATGTATTTTTTTTATTTGTTCTTCTATGGTTTTAGAAAAGTAACATAAACAATGAAAATATAATTTAAACAATAATATTGATTTTATAACCATAATATTTTAGGCTATGATTTATCCTTAATACCCCCTCAAGTAAATCGATGGCAGAAGAACTCTTATTTTTTTCTCGGAAATGCTTAAAAAGAGCTCACAATAGACTTTTATAAAGATATCCACCAGTTGGATTTGGTTAGCAGAATCTGAGTGTAATGTTTACCATAGTGATATCTTCATTTACAAAATGATAATCAAAATTATTGTCTTTGGCACGTTTGTGATAACTAACTTAAAAATCCCAGTTGGTGTTTGTCATAACACAGTATTCTGATTCACAACTTGACCTAGATATAATTGGCTACTTCTTAACGCTCCATGAAACAATGTTTCCACCAAGAAATATAGAGTAGTCACATGTTGACCGTCTGATTTCAAGGCAACAATCACAATCTGCATAAGAGTAACCAAGCAGTGACGTAGTGGGTGAGTGCCGAAAGAAGATACCATAAGAAATTATGCCTTTTAACTCTAGCGTAAAATGTGTTTTACAGTCTGATAATAATCGATAGTAAAACCACGTATAGGAAGCGACTAACTTGATTAACGACTGAGGAAATCCCTAGTCTTGTGATTGTAAAATATTCAATAACCCCAACAAGAGATTGATAAGCGGCGGCGTCAATGAATGGCATACAAAGGCAGTAAGAACATTAATAATCGATAGATTTATGGCCACACGTTTAGAATCTAATTAACACACATACACAAAAATGTTATCTACATACTTAGCGTGAATAAAAAAAATACCACCATCATCATATGATATGATGACGTTCTGACCAAAGAAAGTAGTTGAGGGCCTAGGGTGACCCAAATCTTTAGCAAATTCTTTTTTTTAACAGTTATATATTCATATATTCAAAAGGTTCTAGAAAGTAACTAGAACCAATGAAAAACGACATATTACAAATTACAAAGGAGGTTAAATCTAAGTATTCTAATTTACATTTATTGTGGAAGCTCAAATATTTAACCAATAAAAAGAAGTTAAAACTATATTATCGAAAATAGAATGTCTATAAATCGGGTCATCATCAAACACCACTGAATTTATGTCTCCGTAACACCCACATTGTGGTCAAGATAATCATTCTACACAATGTTTTTTCTCTATTAACCTTTGTGAATCATCACCCATGAAATCCATTCAAAAATGGAGACCGACAAAAGAAAAATGACATCACACCACCCCACCCAAGGAAGGTAAATATGTTTACTTGGTGGCTAATTCCAGATTGGCATTATACTAGATTTAATGTGTCAAAGAAAGGATTAGCGTTAACTTCGTGGTGTGTTCGGTTTATGAAGTGAGGATTGAATGTACTTGTCATCGTTTTTTTGTGTGAGGTGGCGATATAATCACCACTGATTATAGTACAATCATCAATCTGTCCTAAATCGGGTCACAACTCATCCCAAAATTATCGTTTCCAGGGCTTCGCCTCTCAAAGCGAAGTCTACCTCCTCCTACCAATCTCGAGCTCTGTCTTTAAGAAGACAAGAAGCAAATCTAACATTCGACCCCTCAAGACAAAAACTCGTTCGGAAAGCATTCACCATATCCTCTACCCATGTCCTTCTAGTAATGGGGTCCTTCTCCCCAAAGAACTTGGGAGCCCCACAAGCACGAAACTTGCGGAAGGAAAGAGTGCAAGCTCCCACAATAGCCATAATCTCAGTGCGGAACACGACCAGATGCTCATCCAAAATCTCCACACTCCCCTCTTTGACCATTCCAAAGATCACATGAGTCTTCTCCAAAATACCGTAGGTAATCTCCGATGTAATGAACTCTCGCATTCGTTCATCAATCGACTCAGTACTAACACATGAGCCCGAACCAGAACCTGAACCTCCTCTACGTGTGCTCATAACCATTCAGAAAAGCAACCGTACACATGATCAAAACATACCTAAATAATCTTCATCCCACCGGCTTCCTAGATTCACTTAATAGTTAATTCACATCACTAAGAGTTCTACAAAGCACAAAGCAAGCAACATTCGAGCAATAACACTTCAAACCACAAGCCAACTACATGACATGTCTCACCCCCAAACCAGAACGGCGGAAACGTCTGGGGGCGGATGACTTTATGTACAGTATCATAACAGTTGAATAATAGAGATCAAAACATTACAACCATCGTGTTGAATATTTAATAAGTTTACATTGTGCTCAAAATTTTTTTTTACATGATATCAAATGCTTGTGACAAAAATGAATAACATGATGCGATAATGTACCATCCACCAAAAACTCTTGTGGTTACCTGTTTACTGGTTTCCTAAGAATACAAGTGATTTTGAAAAGTGTCAACAATTAAGTTGGTGAGTTCATAAGCGTTTTTGTATGAGAAAGATTTGTAACTGTTTCGTGTAAAATGATAGTGTATACTTCCAGAAAATCCGATATTTTCTTTATAAATGAACCGTAAGTCTTAAATCCCAAGACTAAAATGTAAGTAATACTGTACTGAGAAATAGTGTTATGAAGTTTATCTTTATATAAAATTACTTGAATGTATGTTAACCCGTAAATCAAATCTTATGTCGATACCCTATGTGAATTATTACAACATACTAATGCGACTAGTGGCCTGAACGATGTGCTTCGGACGTCGGAACTGTTACGACATTTTTCACCCCAGACCCGCCGGTCTAACTGTAGTGTGTACTCTAGTAGGTACGGTGAAGCCAAATGTCTCACAACCAGTATCAATCGATTTACGTGAACTGAAAACATCATTTTCTTGTAAATGCAATAATTATACCTTTAAATAATTATAAGTTTTTTCTTGAAATGATAGTGTAATGTTTGTGACTTTCAAAACTATACCAGTTATAGTTTATCTTGTTTGTTTGTTGAAACTATTTATATAATCATTTATATAAATTCATGATAGTGATCTTGTCTAGTGTCAAAATGTAAGGTCAAACCTCATATTTTTGGGTTATAACCCTCAAAATAGTGAAATAACTAGAATGTACTCCTTTTTGTTAGAAAAGCTATATGTTGGTAAAAAGTCCCAAAAATCTTTGTATTTTCGAAATCATAACTTTCCTTATGATTAGATAACAAAAGTGTATGTTTTGTTTTGTTATTTTGCATTTTCAAAACTAATATATCACAAATAATTGTTTACAAACTAGTGGTAACCATATTCCATGCAAATAATATTTCACATTTATCAAAGAGATGAAATATGTAAGTGTTTGTGTAAAAACTAAACTTTACTTGTATTCCCCCCCCCCCCACCCTAAAAACATGAAAACTCAAAATGTGGGGGTATGAACTCACCTTTAGTGGCTTTGTGGGTTGTTTGAAGAGATGATGTGAAGATTTCCAAGCCAAACCACTTGAATGTGGTTGATGAACTTCCTTGGAAATGATCTTATCCTAAGAGTTATAACACATAATAATATGTGTAAATAAGATGAAACTAGCATGAAAGTGTATAAAAACACTAGATTAACAAGAAAACTTACCAAAATTCTAGGAATAAGCTTGGAGGAATTTATCTAGAAAGATCTTGAACTTGTTCTTTGAGAGAATATGGAGTAATCTTTAGTGAAAATGGGAAGGGTGAGGGTTCTGGAAGTGGTTTCGTCCAAAGATAAGGAAGGAAAATGAGGTGACATTTTGTGACATCCCCAAATTCATGGTCATTTTAAAAATTTTATTTATGCTTATTTTAAAATCAGAGTATCATTTTTAAAGAACAATGTTGCGGAATTTTGTTCCCAGAAAACATGATAAATGTTTTATCAAAGCATTTCCGAAGAAATGTATATGTTTATATTAAAACATTGGGATGTCATCGTCAATACGGAAACATAAGCATAAACAGGCCTTACATTCTTTTAAACTAGTGATTTACATCTCCTTTAATCTCTCAGTGTAATGTAGCTTCGTATCGACTCCTGTAATACAAATAAACTGAGTGGGTCGGGTTGGAAAACCTGGTGAGTACATAGGGTTTTCAACCCCTAATAATATAATTATTATGTTTAAACATCAAACAATTAACCCAATTACCCATCCCCATTATCTTCGTTATTCTTAAGGGTCTAACCTAAGAATCATCTATCCTGCATTCATTCATTCCGAAGTCCATCGCTTCCAGGGTTCATATGACAGGCATTAAGTCCAAAGCTGTCAATGCTCGTTCGTAAAGCACTAAATCCATAGCTGCTAATCTTCGTTTATCGGGCACTAAGTCCATAGCTACCAACGTTTATCTAACAGGTACTAAGTCCATAGCTACCAGTGGTTCTCTAACAGGTAGTAAGTCCATAACTAACAACGTTTCTCTAATAAGTTCTAAGTCCATAGCTACCATTGTTTATCTAATAGGCACTAAGTTCATAGTTGCCGATGTTATTTATTAGGCACTAAGTGTATAGCTGCCAATGTTTACTCATACCATCTTTCATCTCTCATCGTTCATCTACCCATGTTTTACCCAACATATTCGTA